ACCAGGGGTAACTTCAGACTTGCATATTGAGAATGTCATTATTAAAGACACAGGTAATTGAATCTTGAAGAACTTGCTCTGTTATACAATAGCAATATGTTTAGTTTTCTTAAAGCTGTTTATTTATATTAATTATGTTGTTTGAGATCGAGAACAATAAATTACTGAATTGTTAAAGTTTTAATGAATTAATAATTTCTCATTTTTTATGAATATTTGTTGATTGTGTAGTGGGTCTGAGCGTACAGGTAGCACAGAGTTTTGGAGCTGAATCTTGCACTAGAGAGAGCCCTGGATTGAAAGTGGAGATGTTTTGTGATGCAGCAAATCCCACATCAACAACTTCCACTTCTTCAAACAGAGGTTAGACTTCTTGACAAAAACAAAGTATCACATATTTGTTTGGCATAATCCTCTCCATGTAGAGTAATCTGTTCTATCTGGTAATATCTTTATTGCTTTATCTTTAATCTCTTCCAAACAAGAAGACCAATATCCAAATGGATAATAGGAACAAACCAGCAGCTACACCTGAATCTGAACATCAGTGTGGAAATGTCAAGAGTTCTACAGGTAACTGACTTGTAAACTTGTGCTTCTTAGGGTTGCAGTGGTATGAGATTTTCACAGTACAAAAACAGTTTCAGAAATTATCGTGGTTTAATGGTATATGGTCCTGCTCAATCAAATATGAGTCATTTTTAAATATTTTATGTTTTTAAAAATTGTTTGCCATTGGATCATTTTTTTACTCTGATAACAATAAATATTATTATTTATACTTGAGTAATTATTTTTATTAGTCCTTTTACTTTAGTACAGCAATTGTGTGATAAAAGTGACATAATTTGAGACCTTTTGCTTTATTTTTGACTAGATACAAAGCTCATCACAGTTTACGGATGGAAGAGATGCAATAAATAGTGTTTAGTTGGGCATCTACTGAAAATAGCATAGGCTAGAACATTGATCTCAGGATTTAAGATTTGAGCAATAGTACATTACAGTACTGTAAATAATCATAGTGTGAGATATAATACTTTTAAGCATGAAACTGTCATACTGCTGCAACCCTAATATAATATACTGTATAAAGGTTAGTATGCACAGTGATCTGAAAACATTAGTCACATTAAAGTGCAGTAGTAAAGACTGAACTTTAAACATGTTGTTTCAAGCAACTACTCCAGTAGAAGAAGGAAAAGGTCTGAGGACTGCTAATCTGAAGCCTAATACAGTTGTGTGTGTGCACTGTAATTTGACATTATTAAAAAACAACTTAAGAAAGCACATCCAAAGACGCCACACTGAATGCAGGGAGACTGTATCATCCAAAAGGTATTTAAGATGCCAGTGTGTTGATGGCAAAAATGGAATTTTTGCTGTTGAAAAGTCTTTCCATGGTGCATCCACTCCAATCCATGTCCTGAAAAATACCTGGGGAGAGTCACAAAGGTCTGAGTGTGAATTGGATGAGTGCTGTGTTACCAGAGACTTTGCCCACAGAAGTGGTATTTTGCCATTTGAATGTGACCACTTGCAGTCTTTATCCTATTGTCCACGTGTTGATCAAATACAGACTGATCTTGCAGAAGAAACTTTGTGTATGATGGTTGACCAGAAGTGGTTTGGAGAAGCAAGGAAACACCAATTAATTGATTTGAAGAAGGAATCACTGGCAGAAGGAGTTCCATTGTCAGTGTCTGTACAAATTGGAGACCAACTCAACAAATTGCATGTGTCTGTGTTTGAAAAAAAACGCTCATATTACAGCAGACTTGGCAGAGTAATGGTCTCGTATGATGTTAAGAAAAACTCTTGGCACTGTCCTTGCTCAATGCCAAGGAAATCGTGTATTCACAAGGCTATTTCAAAGTGGCATCTCTTTCACCATCAGAAAGACTTGTTCAAGAAGGTAAAAAGTGTGGAGGAAGTTCCTCCTGAATCACCTGAAGGAAAAAAAGATGACCACAACAACAGCTATCCACCATCTGACTCAAACATCAAAGAAATGATCCACTACATGATGGCACACAAAAAACTTCCCAGTGAGCTTCCCAAGACATTACTAGATCATTCCAGAGATTTGAAGTCCAACCAGTGCCTTCCAAGGCATCTGGTGCCCACAGAATTAAAATGTATCAACTGCACAGCTGAAAGCTTAAGTGATCCAAGACTCATCACAAAAGATGCCAAGATAGTGACATTTTCTGGTGTAATCCAAGGTATGGTTATTGTAATATTACATTAACATGTGCTTTCAGATATTTTTTATGGATATTTTAGATTCATGCATTTATTTACTTCTTTAGGCATATCTACTTACTACAGACAGTGCCCAAACTGTGAAATGGTATATAGGTACCAAGAGTGGTCAGATGGAATACATAATTTCAATGACCACATTCTTTTGTCATTACATTTGTGCATGTTCCTAAGAAACTCAATACAGGTATGTCACAATCCCAATGCGTTGTTTTCCTATGAATTTTTCAAGTTGCTGGGGTTTTTTTTTTTCATTCATTCATTCAATGTATTTTTTTAACTTGTTTAATTCCAGAATAGTACAGCAGTAAGTAGGGTAATGGAAACATTACATTCAATTGAAGGTGGGCCTTTTCCTAAAAATGAACTTGTTTTACAAGCCTATTTGCACTTTGAGGCCATGACAGAACTGGATTATCATTACAACTGTGTCACTTGTGGGCACTACCCAAGTGTAGTCGTCATGGATCTACACAAGAAGGGAGCCTTCGGCATGCCTGGTATGTTTAAACATTTATTGTTTGATATATTTAAAAGTTTATTTATAACTATAGTTTCTTAATTTATTCACAAAATATGTTTATCCAATCACATCCACATTTTAAAGGGTTTTTTTTATTTGTATTTGTATTTACATTTTTTCATAATCCTATCATTTCATAGGCATAAATTGCATTCATGCATGAATTGAAATGTAAGTTAATGTAATATAGCCTACTTTTAAATACTATAGTCTTTGTTTCATTTTATTAATTTATTGTAGTGAGTGAAATTGACCCCCCTCCACCAAATTATGATGGCTGTGTGGATATTGAGAAGTTTTGGGAGGCAGTAACAGTAGAGATGATAAGCCGAGGTTTTTATACAAGTATGTCTCGCATCACTTTCCAGATATAAAGCCTTTTATCTAAGTTTCTTTCTTTAACCACAGTTTAACTTCTTTCTCTTTTATTATTAGGTGGGATGAGGAACCCCTTAATTGTGCCCCCAAGCTACAGCTTTTGGGCGCCATGGATTGGTATTCATACCAGATCATCCAACAACGTTCTCAACACAGAGTACGCTAAGCTTCATGTGTCACAAGACTCATCTGAGGATGACGTACCACTTACAGAAGAAAGGCTTGCAGATGAGCTGCTAAATATCCGGGTATGGTTTGTTACATCACAACAATATATTAATTGAGATGTTTTGTTCTGTCATGTGTAATAATTTTGTTGCAATCTTTCTTTTTGGCTAGGTTGAAGAAATAAGGGCCCTTTGTATGGGATGTGGAATAGATCACAAAGGTTCTAAAATGGATTTAATTATCCGACTAAAAGAGAGGATGTCAAATAGAGTCACCTACAACAAGGTTTTTGAAAAAGTGTGGGGTGCATCTGGTAAGTCCGACTGTACAGTTATGTATTAGGGAGGCATAAAAGTATTGATATAACAGTTCTTGTTTACATAATCATTTTGCTGTTCAAATTGAGGCGATGTGATTTTTGTCAATTGTAAGATCTCTGATTATAAAACTGTATAAAGATTGACAAATTGAGTATTCATGGATTATGAATTGACATGTCTTTCACTTTAGGTGGCTGGGCTGTTATAACCTGCCCTTGTGGGGTTGTGTACTCTGTGAAATTTAACATCAGAGCAGAGAGCCCTCGTGATTATGCTGATCTCCTGCTTTCATGGAAACATGTTCCCAATGTTGCCGTCTACGACTTCCCAAGGGGACTAGCCTCTCATGCAAACCATCGTTCAAAGAATTTATTTAATCCTTTTGAGGGTCGATTATTGGAACCATCTGAAGAAAATATCAAGAAGGCATCAGAAAATGACTTGAAAGTCAGTTTGCCATGGCTTAACCACAGGAAAGAACCAGCTGATCAGGATGGTCATCCTGTTACTGGTTCATGTGAGCATTTTGTCTTGTCTGATGTGTTCCATCAGACCAACAGTAAGGATCCTAGGGATTCCTTGAGAAAGATTGGCCTTGTCCCGGAGCTTGCAGGAAAAATCAACAGTCAGAGAGCTGAGCAACTCTTTTCAGATATGAAGAAAAAAGAACTACTTCCTTAACATGATGAAACCATCATCCCACATTTTCCTTGCAAGAAATATTTTGCACCATAAAAATGTTGCACGGAACAATACGGTTGTGAAGCAGTTAAGAAAATGTATAGATGATGACACGGAATTACAGTTTGATTGCAATGGAAAGATCATTTTGGGTAAAGTATTATCACTGTGTGTATGTATGAATATTTGTGTGTGTGTATGTGTATACCGGTATGTAAATAAATGTGTATGTATGCGCTTTTGTGTTTTAGGTGCAGCCGTGAATCCTCGATCTTCCAACACTGTTGATATTGCAGCATGCAGTCAAATATCAGGTATGAAGGTGCAGTTGTGGCAAAAAGCTAAGACATCTTTGATTGAGATGAAGTGATAATTCATGTTGTTTATCCTTCTTTTTTTAAGCCACCATATGAGAAGAGCACACGTCACAGTGTGACAAGCCACAAGCCCTTCTGGGCAGTGGAGGACATGCTTCCAAACAAAGCCGTTTGGGGCCAACCATTACCAGAACATCTTCAGAAAATGGTAATCATTAGTTTGTGTAAAATTCTTAAAACATGTTCTTGGTTTATATGTTTTAATTTTATTTTTCAGGTTGTAAGTGTATTGGACCCTAACAGTGACCCAAAGGAACGAATTGTTTCTGTGGGGTCGACTGTGCTGTTGCGTTCCGATTTTCTATCTTTAGGATTGTCAGAAGGAGTTGAAGCAACGGTAAAATTATTTTTTATTTGTAAAATGAGATGGAAAAATATCAAAAGAACTGATTTTATTTGTTTTTATTTAAAAAATATATAGATTTTGAACTGTTGCCTACGAATCATTGAGCACATCGCTTTCCGCAGGGTAAGGTAGCAGTCTCGAAAATTATATTGAAAACCGGATGCATTTGCATGCATCTGATAATTGTTTCCATTACAGGATATCAGTGTGTATGTTGCTAATTCTTACGTGGTAGCAACCTGGCTTCCGCCACTCTCTGGTTTCCCAGAGTTGTCCCTTCCGGTGAGTTCTGGAATGTTTTATTTTGTGGAAGATTTTACTATATCTGAATATAATGAACATTATAGTTCCTAGGCTCTGATATGTTTCTACATAAATTTTAGGCTAATGTCGGCCAGACAGACCTTGTGGTTCTGCCTGCTTGGGTACCTGGCCACTGGCTGCTGTGTGTAAGTATTATAATTTATATGAGAACAAAGTTAACAGTAAGTTGTAATTTAAGCAATATCCAATAATCTAAAGGATAATTTAATGTGACCTAAACAATGTGCTGTTGAATTTAATTCATTTTGAGATTACAGCATTGCACATGCATTTTACAGATTATGAAACCAAAGACAAGAGAAATGTATTTTCTCGATTCTATGCAACAAGCATCATTTGGACCATACATTGACACTTTCAGGTTATAGAAATGTTCAGTATGTGTTCAGAGATTACAGTGGTTCTGTTTTAAACTGTAATCTTTTTTTTTTTTATTTCTACCATTTTGTTCATTAACTTTTATTTTGTGTTCACTGGAATTTTTAGTGCATAACTGTTTTGCGTCAACAAACCACAGATATGACCCTTGTTTGCAAAGATAGTATATAGATATAAGATAGTATAATATAGATAGTTTAATTGACATTAAGGACTACATCTCTAAACAATGGGGAATTATAATTATTATTTTTTATTTTGTTATTTTTTTTTTTTTTACAGGAACATTGCAAAACTCATTGACAACCGAGAGTGGACAGAGAAAACTGCGTGAAACATTTCATTTAAATGCAAACAAAAGTCTATTTCATTACACAATGTGTGCTGATGAAAGAAAATCTGTGAAGGTAAATGTATGTACTTGTTTTAATCCAAACCACAGGGAATACCCAAGCAGGCAGGTGGGAACAACTGTGGAATCTACATACTGATGGTAGGTTAAATTTTAATTGTTATTGTAGTTAATTATTGTAAGTTATACCCTGCTCATTTTCTTGCACTTTGTGAATTGTAACAGTACACTCTATACATGGCTTTGGGGCTCCGATTTGATTTTACAGAGGTATGTCATTACCTCATTACATATTTCACGTTAAATAAACAGACATCCATAATTGTTTATTAATATTATTATTTTTTTAAATTCAGGATGACATGCCCCTGATCAGGAGGTGGTGGTGTGCTTTCTTACTGGACAACTTCACTCTGCAAATGTATGTAGCTGTTTGCATGTTCCTACATAAACATTAGTTTATATATGTACTATATCTACCAATGTACATGCCTACCTCTTGTCATTTGTTTTTTTTTTTTAGCGCTCAACCTTACAAAAGGCAATGTCTTCGGGGAGATTCAGACAAAGCAGCTAATTTATTGTACACATACATTCATTAAGTAAGCAATTTCTTTGAATAGTGTTCTGGTAAAACTTCCATTTGTTGGTGAAACAATAGAGTTATTTGTCATTGTTCAAGACAGGCATGTTAAGAGAGGGCTTTAGTGAAGCGCTGCAGAGCTTCTGTCCTAACGGTGGAAACACAGTGTGATTTTGTGCTCGGTGATAAAGGTCCAAGGCTATTAACACCGCCCGACCCTTGAAAGCCCTGGCCCACACTGGCCCGACAGTGGGGAAAGCAGCTAATGTGTGTTGGAGCGATATTTATTTTAATATTATCTTTATAAGAGAATATTAATCTATTTATTTATTATTTTATTCAGAGCATGCAGTTATGACAACAGTTTATCAGGTTTGTCTGAACCAAGGTTTATATTTTTTCAACAACATTTATATACAAGTATAAATAATCATGTTTTTTGTTTCAACAGCTTCCCCATGAAATAATTTCCGAGATCCTCAAGGAAGTTGTTTTAGCAACTGGTGATTCTGCATATTTGACGCTTTCACTGGTATGCAGATGGTTTAGGGATGTGGTCACAGATGAATTTTTCCGGAAAGCAGCACACTTTGCCTGGCTAGACAGTAAGATGTTTTTTTCCTGTTCAATGCACATTTCTTGGATTGAAATTTGTGTTATGTGACATTTAAACTTGAATCTCCACACTTATACCTTTTCTGTATTTTGTCTTTACATTTTAAGGTGTGGTCAACTGGAAAAAAATTTCTCTGGACTACTGTGAAGAGTTTCGACGGATCTACAGCATCAGGGAATGCTCGGAATGCTTGGAGCTTTTCAAGTCCTATCCACCAGGGTACAGGGGAAGAGGAAAACGAGGGGAACTGCTGGGCTTTTACTCCGAAGATGTTTGTACAGGATTTTGCTCGCAGGACTGTTTCTTTGCTGCAGGAAATGAATTTCTGTGAAACTCAACTTGTACATGGGAATGTTTGGAGCCCATAATAAAGAAAAAGTGTCAGTCTTTGTTTTGTTGTGTTCTTAAGAGCATGTATAGATACTCCCTTATAAGTTTATTATAGAACAACCATAATTATTGATTACATTTTTGTAAACGCACAAATACTATAATTACCATAGTTAATTTGTGATTACCATGACTTTTTGGAGCTATAATCCCGTATGATCAGTGAAGTTTGACAGCCGTAAATGTAGTTAAAAAAAAAGTTCGTAGGATCTAACGGAAACTTGTGGTTACTATCAGGTGAGACTAGTGACTTGTCCGGTGACATTTGCGCTCTCTCTCTCTCTCTCTCTCTCTCTCTCTCTCTCTCTCTCTCTCTCTCTCTCTCTCTCTCTCTCTCTCTCTCTCTCTATATATATATATATATATGTATGTATGTAGAGAGAGAGAGGGAGAGAGATGTCATTAACTTATTAATTTACAAAAAAACCTAATTCAGAGGTAACGAACCATCCAACTTACTACAGCTGTTGAGGGAGTGATTGTGAATTAGACCATTATTTCTATTCTCTTCTACTTCAATGGAATATTGTGGAATCGCATTAATGACCGCAAAATCAACAAGTTTATTCGTCTGTTGTGTTCTTCCGCATTCCCAGCCTGCCCAAAGCGTCACACTTCTCTGCACCAATAATCTGTAATAGCGTCACACTTCTCTGCACCAATAAGATCATCTTTATTATAAACCAATAAACGTTAAGGTGGGCGGGGCGACACGTGTCGCTCCGCCCAAAAGTGTCGCCCCGCCCCATCGTCCAGCGTGCACCCTGGGGTACTACAGCTGTGACTGCAGTCAGAGGAAAACTTTGAGTTACAATATTTTGTAACATTTAATAAATTGTTGGTTGCCATGTGACGCAGTAAAACATCTGGCAATTACCTTTCAAATTTTCTATAAATATATTTTACATCCGCGATCAGGAGCGGTTCTAGGGTGAGTGGATATCTGGGGCTTAACCAAGAGAAATCCATGTATGTGTCACGATACAAGAAATAAACTTTAAATAAAATGTTTTTTTTTTTTAAATAAGGTGAATATTTCTTGCGAATTAAAATTAAAAATCACAATGCCACGCACCCTCTTCTTTCCTTGCTGACTCATCTCAGACATGGTTAGCAAGCTCAGCTCTATTATTGTTTTAATAAATAGCATTTACTTAACAACATGATTTTTGTGAGAATAGATAAAAAAAGAGGTGACTAAAGAATCTCTATAATAACAACAAAAAAATCTTGACCCATTCTTCATGCACAAATTACATTTTAAAGACTAATAAGACTACCTATACCTTACCTTTTGTGTGTGCGCCGCGCGTGCACGTCCTATTGACTGTGCTGCACAAAGTGTTTGACGATCAAAATGTATATCTAACAAATAAAGTAAAAGAAGTATCCTTCAAAATAATAAATACATTTTACCTTGCTAAATATTTCGTGATTAAATATAAAAGTAATATTGACACAAGATGCTCATTTTGCCAAGTTCACACAGAAACTGTTTATCATTTATCTCGGTCTTGTTTTTATACTAAACAACTATGGGGAAATATTGGCAAGCTTATTAAAGATAATATCCAGCAAGATATTTCAGTAACCTTTAAAGACATAATTTTTGGATACTTTGACTCTGATCTGGATAATAAAAAAAAAGCCTGCTTTGTTACCAATTTAATCTATTTTATTGGGAAATTCTATATCCATAAATGTAAATTTTCCAACAACAAACCAATTTTTATAGTTTTTTTGAAAGAGTTTGAAATGTACCTTGACACCATCTCATCCTCAGAACGCAACAAAAACACTTTTATTTTGTAATGACTTTAATTTGGTTAGACCTACTCTGAATTTTATATAGAATTTCTTGGCCTCTTGACCCTCATTTATTTATTTATTTATTTTCCTTTTCTTTCTTCTCTTTTTTGTTTTAGATAGTCATACACTTGTGTTAAGATGATTGTACATATTGTTGTCATATTTTGTACAGATATGTATGCAATTTTGTAACAGATTTCTATGCAATTTTGTAACAGATTTGTATGCTATTTTGTAACAGACTTGTATACTATGTGCTATGATTGTCATCTTTGTTTGTTCCTAAGCATAATAAAAAAAAAAATAAATAAATAAAAAAAATGCTTATCTGACAATCTAAAGAAAGAAATCTAATACTACGATTAAAAGTTACAGATACCTGCTGAAAGTGTTGTATCTTGTTTTAGTAATGGCTGGGGGTTGTTTTAATTCCTTTTTCTTTTTTCTTTTTTTTTTTTTTGGAAGAACTTTGATACCATCCATTTTACTCGTTCATTACTAACTTCTTGCACATCAACAAACGCCTGGCTCCAAAATGTTTAATTTCATTGGCTGGATCGTACAAGACCGCCGAGCTTCTCATCGATGGTTGGCCAGTTTACATGTCAGTCAGAAGCACTAGCCTGAGTGGGCGGTTCTTGTCGGTTGTGAATGACAATGCGTATGTTGACGGACGCTGTGATGCGAGAGTCGAGAAATATACATTTAATTAATTAAATTCTCTCAGTGATGGTGTGTACAATGCAAGGAAATAAAAACATTCGGGGCTTTACTGAAAACAGCCCCCTTAGCCCACCCCTAGCGCCGCCCCTGTCTGCGATATTCTGTTGAAAATGGAGTTTAATCGCCCTCCTGTGGTGAACTGTGTGAATTACACTGCTGAACCGTATTCAGAGCGCCAGAGGAAAACTGCACTAAACTCTGCACTTACTTTGCATTTATTTCACATTGTTTGATAAATTGTTAAGTTAAAGCGACATAGTAAAAAAAATCTAGAAAAGTTCGCTTTTGTTTAATGGAAATATATTCTTATATCTGTAATATCAATTTAAAGACTCACGTCTAAACGCCCTCCTGTGGTGAATTGTGTGCATTACACTGCTGTTAATTATCTCATTTCTGTTAAAACCTTTTATTAAATTATTTGCATTGATTAAAATCCTTTGATAAATAATTGAAAACCTCTGGCAAACATGTAGTTTTAAAATGAAATATATTGTTGGATGTATAAACTAAGGGAAAATTATGAAAAATTGATTGTATCATTCTCTGTGTATTGTATACTGCCTCCCGATTTGTTAAAATAAACAAATACATTATGTAATTTTAAAAAGTCCAATGTCTTGATCGAACTGTGGTGAATTCATGTGAATTACACTCCTGTTAATTATTTCTACCTAAAAATGTCTACCTACTTCTAGTTAATTCAAGTCAAAGGAAAACTTTGCATTACATTATTTTACATTGATTTCGTGTTAAATAAATCGTTCGTTACCACATGAAACATATGACCCCTTTTATTTATGGTATAATAATTGTACGTACTTTTAAATTTGAATTGAAAACGCCCTCCTGTGGTAAAATGTATTAATTACACCACTGAAACATTTTTTCTACAGCAGTAACTCTAGAGGAAAACTAGCTTGATTAAGAATTATTCTTATAAAGCCCCGTTGATTCAGACGTTTTAATAACAGACAAAAAATATAAGCGCAACAGAATAAAAAATGAAGCGAGAACATTTTAATGTTATTTTGTGTTGAATGTAACAAAATATGGACTTTAATCCACGATGTAGTATTTGTTGGCAAATGTAAAACCTAAAGATGAAGTGACTTTGCTGTCACCCGGTGTCTTATTTTGGCTTATTTTAGAATGCTCTAAATTACAGTTTTTCCCCATTCATTTCTATGGGTGCCCATTTTTGACCCAAATACAAGATTAAGAAGTTTTTTTTCCACCCACTTAACATTGTAGAATTGAGTCAAAAAAAAAAAATATTGTGTGTGTTCAGGAGGCAAACTTAGGAAAAACAGCCAAGTCTTGTACCGCTCAGATCAAGGGAAGTATTTCTTAAAAATAAATCAAAACTATTTTGCCCACATTTGTGCAGAATACGGTTTTAGGGTTAAGACGAACATTTGTTTTTATCTGGACGCCCTCCTGTGGTGAACTGTGTGAATTACACTGCTGTCATTTTACCCATAAACATTTAAAGATTTGAGTCAGCGAAATAGATAAATCGACTCTGCAAGAATTCTGGTGTGTGTTCACGTGAAATGAAAAAAGTTCAAACGAATATTATTCTCTCCACGAGCCAAAGGTAACGTTAAGTTAGAGTATAATTTAATATTGAACCAAACATGAATGACGAGTCACGCAGGTCCTGTGCTACTCCGCAGCGGTAAGACCAGAACCAGTATAAAATAGTCCGAATATAAACGCTTATTATAGGTGTACCACAGTGATTCAGGATAAGACAAAGCACGATTTGGACAACTGATACATGTACCCGCTCATTATATAAACCTTTGAACATTTTGAACACAAAAAGCTAGTAAGCACTAAAACTGATTGAGCCATCTCTATCATCTGGTTGAGGTGTATTATGCCAAAAAATCCACTAGATTTCACAGCGTCAATCAACAGCACTTGTCACAACACTTCTTCTAACATGGATGTCTAACACTTCTTCTAACATGAAACAAATAAATCACCCCAGCCATGTGAACTGTTTTTGGTGAAATTTTGCAAGCTAAGCATTACATATTCCACTGTAAGAGCCTTAACTTTACAAAATGATGTTACTTGGTGCTATGAAAAAACTTTAGGATATTTTTAATCATTTTTCAAAAACATGCTCAACCAAATGGTTAATTTGGCACATAACGGTTAACCATCACCCCCTTTTTGAGAATGGATATTACAATGCACTATTAAAACTTGGTTGTAATTCAAGTATGCTTTGGAATAAAGGCCTAAGTTTAGTCTTGTTTTAAAGAAAACACTCAGCAGAATATTGCTGAAGTAAAAACACTTCAAAAAATAAAAGTATGAAAAGGTTATGGAAGTTTTAAATGTACATTAAATCAAATATACTTTACTAAATATTTTTTTCTTTTATATAAAATATATATTTTACAAAATATTTTTTCCTATAAAATTACTATAAAATCAAAGCCATATAT